TGACCGTCAACGGTGAGTAGTGAGAAGAGATGAGCAGGAGAGCGAAGTTTAGATTACGTTGGTGTTATGGACAGTGGAGCGAATTTTTTTTATTCATCTCACGACTCTCTCTCTCTCCCACACACTAACCCATCTCTCTCTCTCTCTCCCTCACACTAACCCATCTCTCTCTCTCTCCCACACACTAACCCATCTCTCTCTCTCTCCCTTACACTATCTCATTTCTCTCTCTCTCTCTCTCCCTCACACTAACCCATCTCTCTCTCTCTCCTGTACAGAGTTTCCTGTGTTCACGAAGACTCCCGTGGACATCACGGTGAAGGCGGGCAGCAAGGCGCGGCTGGAGTGCGCGGCGCGCGGCGAACCACAGCCGCAGATCGCGTGGCAGAAGGACGGCGGTGGCAGCGACTTCCCGGCCGCCAGGGAGCGGCGCATGCGCTTCTTCCCGCAGGACAGCGTGTTTTTCATCGTCAACGTGCGAGCGAGCGACGCGGGGCAGTACTCCTGCATCGCCGCGAACGCCGCCGGCGTCGTCACGCACAACATCACGCTGAGCGTGCTGCAGGCGCCGGCGCCACCTAGGCCCGCCGCCGAGAAACGCGTCGCCATCGGCGGCACCGTCGCCCTGGAGTGCCTCACCGGAGGTAGGTGGCGCCATCTGTTGGCATCGATTTCTTGCACTCGATAACGCACTTGTTTTTTCTACGGACTCGGACATTTTGAGGCCAAAGTTGTTTGTGACGTGTAAAATTAAATTTAAATTAAAAATTAAAATCCGAAGTATAATGCGCGGTGTGACACGAGACAAAACGGTGCGAGGCATTCTATCGCCTTACCTCGAGTTTTCCCAACAACCCATCCTTTCTCGTTGCAGCGAGTTCGATTCCTTATCTTATTAACCTTCCTTTCTCGTTGCAGCGAGTTCTAGCCAGGTGATCACGTGGGAGAAGGACGGGCGGCCGCTGCAGTCGACGCCGCGACACTTTGCGATCAACGATAACCAGCTTCTCGTGATCGTGCAGGCGCAGCCGAGCGACGCTGGAACCTACACGTGCGAGGTCGTCAACGCTCTCGGATCCGTGCGCCGCGCCTCCTGGCTGGACGTCGTAGAAGGTAAGAGAGGAGGGGGAGGAGAGAGAGATAGAGAATAAGAGAGAGGAGAGAGAGGCGAGAGAGGAGGGAGAGGAGAGAGAGGCGAGAGCGAGAGAGAGGAGGAAGAGGGGGAGAAGACAGAGAGACAGAGAGACTAGACGGAGAGAGCGAATGAGAGAGGGGCGCAGAGAGAGAGAGAGAGAGAGAGAGAGAGGTGAACGCTCGATCGAGAATCCCTGATAGATGCGTGTGAACTCTGTATCTCATCATGACAGAAATAGAAATGTAAATAGAAATTAGTAGGAGAGTCAGCGAGCGGTCGGTCGGTTGTCGATTAAGAATCCGTGAGGGATGCGCATGAACTCTGTTCTGGGTGATCTCGGATGTATCTCGTCGGTCTATCTGTTTGGTTGGAAGCATACCAGAGTCGGAGAAATGATGTGTCGTCGGTAAACTCTCGCGAATTTCTCCCGTTCGGCGTAATCGTAACGGATTTGAGTTTCCATTTACAAGCTGTCGCGATAAATTATTGACAATGTGTCCAGACGTCGTTCGTGAATGAACCTTTGTGTTGTTCCTCCCTCTAGCGGGAACGGTGGAGGAGAAGCCGGCGCCCCCTGCTGGCGGCATGATGTCGGACGACAACGCGATGCGGTTTGTCATCGTCATCGCCGTCGTCTGCTGCGTTGTCGGCACCTCCATCGTCTGGGTGCTCGTCATCATCTGCCAGACGCAGAAACGCTCCAACCTGCTCGCCACCAGTCGCTCAGGTACGCTGACGGCGCCACCTGGCGGGGGCGCGTGATCCTGCAATGATGTGCTTAGTCAGTTCAAAATATTTTTCGACGAGAAAAAAATCAGTAAAAAAAAGAGTTTAGTTAAACGTCAACAAAAACTTTTAAAAAGTGACCTGTTCAAAATTGTTTAAAAAATTTACCAAGTACACGGTCTACCACGGCGGCGTCGGTCTGCGGCATACGTAGGAATTCGATCGCTCGTCGCATGTAGATGGCGCTGCGGCCCGTGACTGACCGCTATCTCGCTGTGTTACAGTTGCGAGGCGATTACCGGAGCAGGGTCTGTACCAGTACCAGCCGACGAGCGGTTATCGCGTGGAGAAGGAAGGTCCCGAACCACTGCACATACAGATACGCACGCAAGGTATGTACGCGTATGCACGCACGCGCGCAAATCACCTCTAGCAATGTTTTCTCATCTCGCCTCGTGACGTGTTAAGACGATTCTTGCAACAGTGACTAATCTGATGCTAGACCCTAGTTGTTGGGGTGGCTTCCCACTGTAAGGGTGGATCAATCGATCTAGATTGATAATATTAAATTTTAGATTCATAATAATAATTTTAATTAATCGTTACGATCATCGCGCTGACATTGTCAAAATCTATCCTGTTCCACCCATCCGCCGACGCGTCGTTAGCATCCGTTCGTCGTCATGACGATCCCTCGTCTTTCGTCTGCAGACGGCAAGGTTCAGATTGTCGGGAGGCAGTCGAGCGGCAGCCTCCCCGACCGCACGCATGCGCACCGGCCGCTGCTGCGTGCTCGCTCGGACGCGGCGGCAGGCGGCAGTGCGGGGTTCCGCCGCGGCCCGGAGAGCGATTCTTCTGTTGACACGATGAGCAGTGAACCGAGCACGCACAGTACAGGCAGCAGCAGTGGCGGCGGAGGCGGAGGCGGCGGCGGAGGAGGCGGGGCGCGGGACAGAGACTTGAGTCTGGCCACGTTCAAGCCCAGACTTAAGCATGCTGCAGGTGGGTGTGTGTAAACGATGTGGGTTGAGTTTAGGTGGGCGTGCGTGCGTGAGTGCGTGAGCAAGAAAATTGAACGAGAGAGACGGGCAGAAGAAGGGAAAGCAAAAAATGACGATTCGAAGTCAAAGAGACAATTCGGAGTGGAGTTGTAGAGGTAGGATGAGAAAGCAATACATAGTATGGGGGAGGGTGACAGATTAAGGGAGAGGGAGACAGAGTAAAGGAGAGGAGTAGAATGAGAGCATGAATGAGGAAGAGAATAAGAGAAAGAGGGTGACGAGTGAAGCATATGAGAATAGTAACAGTTGTGGGCATCAGACCAAGACACTAACTTCTCTCTCTTCCACAGGTGATGCATCACCAGCAGCAGCATCATTATCATCATCATCATCAGCAGCAGCAGCAGCAGCAGCAGAGTCTGCCACTGGGAGGGCGCCACTGTGTGGTGTCGTGTCTCCCGCATCGTGTGATAGCAGCTCCCTCTTCCTCGCGCCGCGCCGCGACGGTAGCGCCCTCGTGTGCGAGCCGTCCGCCGTGAAGGCGTTGTCACAGAGTCGTGACAGCGGACTGTCGATCGTGTCACCGTCGGGTGACGCGCGGCCGCTGCAGGCGTCCGAGTCGTCGACGACTTTTCCCTGTGAGCCGGCGCCCTCGCGGTGCAGACAGGTGGCGCCACCGTTCAGCGCAGACAATTATGGGATGTGTAGTCGGTCGGCGGAGCATCCGTCGAAACTTTACGCCGGAGCGACGACACGGACGTTAGCATCCGTGCATCTGCAGCATCCCGCATCCGAGCAACAGCAGCATCCGCATTCACAGCATCCGCATCTGCAGCATCCCTCGTCAGATCAGGAGCAGCATCCTGCATGCAAGCAACAGCAGCATCTGCATCCGCAGCATCCCGCATCTGAGCAGCAGCATCCGCATCCACAGCATCCCACGGCGATGCGCAGCAGCAGCGGCGACGATCGTCTGTTAACGAACAAGTTCTCTAAGTTCATCGACGTCTAGGCCTCAGGTCGCGCGCGGGGGGGGGGGGGGGGGCGTGAATACCCGCTTGTATCTGTTCATACAGGTTTATTGTAGTTACCTCGGTCTGCCGCGCGCGTGTGTGCGTGCGTGCGTGCATGCGTGCGTGTGTACGGTGGATTGGTGTGTGCGTGTGCGTGTGCGTGTGCGTGTGCGTGTGTGTATGTGTGCGCGTGTGTGTGTGTGTGTACAGTGGATTGGTGTGTGTGTGTGTGTGTGTACAGTGGATTGGTGTGTGTGTGTGTGTGTGTA